GGAGCGGGCAGCGGCCCCCCGCGGCGGGGTGGCAGCAGCGGCGGCGGCCCGCACTGTGCCCGGGCGCTCGCCCTCGTCGCAGCTCCGGCCCCGCGGGCGCGCGCCATGGCCGCGGCCTCCCCGCCCGGGGCCGAGAGGACGCGCTGGGGCTGGGGCCGCCTGCCGGGCGCCCGGCGGGGCAGCGCGGGCCCGGCCAAGAGGTGCCCCTTCTCGCTGGAGCTGGCGGAGGGCGGCCCGGCGGACGGCGCGCTCTATGCACCGATCGCGCCGCCCGGCGCCCCGGGGCCCGCGCCCCCCGCGCCCCCCGCCGCGCCCCCCGCGTCCCCCGCCGCCGAGCTCGGCCCGCGGCCGCGCGTGAGCCTGGACCCGCGCGTCTCCATCTACAGCGCGCGCCGCCCGCTGCTGGCGCGCACCCACGTCCAGGGCCGCGTCTACAACTTCCTCGAGCGCCCCACCGGCTGGAAGTGCTTCGTCTACCACTTCGCCGTGTGAGTATCGCCAGGCCGCCCCAGGGGCTTTCCGCGGGCTGCCAGCCGCATCCCAGCCACCTGCCCGCGCAGCTGCCAAGCGGAGCGGGGGAGCGGGCGAGGGGAGGAAGGGGTTAATGGGGAAAAGCAGAAACAAGACCGGCGCCTGTTTCTTGAAGTTCAGGGACACTGCTGGGGCTCTGGGTGGGAAGCTCCTGCCCGGGCATGTGTGGGGGCGCCAGCTGGGGAGGGTGTGCCCCAGCCCAGAAGCTGGTTCCACTCCTCCTGGAGGGACAGTCCAGGTGTTAATCCTTCTGGGACAAGGAGGAGCAGAGCAGCAGCCTGGAGCTGCCCTTGGGCACAGCAGAGGATTCCCCAAGGTCGGTGGGGACACCGCAGATACTCAGGAGCCCCCACGAGGGGAGGGGCCTCATGCTCCTGCTGGCGCCAGCACCTCTCAGACCCTCAGGCCCAGGTGGACTCGCGTCCAGGCAGGACGGTGCAGGCGGCGACTTCCTGCAGGGCCAGCGTGGTGTGGAGAGTGCTCACTGTCTCTGTGTTAACCGAACCAAGATCGAGAAAACCTGGGTTGATGCAGAGAATGGAGGGGCCCGGGGAGGGGGTGGGGCCGCCTGCAGCCTCCATCAGAGGCAGCTGTGCACCAGGAGAAAGTGGGCAGGTAGCACCTGGTCCTTGTTCTTGCCAGGTGGTTCCGATTCCCAGCACCGCGTGCCTGAGGGGGGCAGGGCGCTGGGCTTCTCAGGGACGGGCATAAGAAGCTCCCTCCGAGGAGGGTCTGGCTGTACTTCCTGGCTGCCCAGCCAGCAGCCTCTTGCCTGGGAGCCTTTGCTCAGTGTCCTGTGGGCTCATCTGAGGGCTGTGCGGGTGGCCGGTGGCAGAGCGTGCTCATCCCTACTTCCTCCCCTGGGCCTGCTGGAGACCTGGCGGAGGGCGTCCAGGGCCCTGTTCGCTCCTGCTAGTAACCACCGCCTGGTGCCCAGGGGACCTGTCCGGCTTGGAGCATTGTCTCAGGTGAGGGAGTGGGGCCGTGGGCCCAGGGGCGCTGGCCTCCTTGGTGAGAGAGGCAGGGCCTTCCAAGTCAGGGAGGGCAAGTCTCAGGGACAACTGTCCCAGAGACACGGTTGGACCGTGGTCTTGGAGACTCTCCCCACCCCAGCACCCTAGCCCCTGCCTCCTGAAGTGCCCGAGGGTGCCGAGCCGTGGCTGGTCTGTGGGAGGGGAAGCTTCTGCCCACGGCTGCAGCAGCTCGTCTTGGGGTTCCGGAGATGTGCGCAGCAACCCCGAGGGACCCCACCCGAGCCGGATGCCACCGTGGGAGCGTCCGGCAAACCCCAGGCTTGTGGGTGCTGCTGTGCCGACGGCCGCCTGCCTCCTAGCACTCGCCTGCTGGGCCCCAAACTCCCTGGGGCGCCCGGGAGCAGGAGACCCCACAGCCAGATGTGTGAGGAGCCCCTGTCCGGAGGCCTCTCTGTCCGGAAGCCCCCTTGCCTTTAGCCACCTCTCGGTCGCGCCCTGGGCGTGCAGGTCCGGGGCAAGCATCCCTGGAGCTCCCGGGTCGCCGCGGTGCCTGCGGAGGAAGAGGGCTCGCCGCGCCCCAGAGGAAGTCTCTGCTTACGCTCGTGTTTTCTTCCTGATTCTGATTGTTTAGCTCTCGGAAGTTTGCTCAGCGCGGTCCGCCTTTGCCCAGCCTCCCGGAGCGGGCAGGGCAGGGGCAGCTCGTGGGGACAGGGAACCAGGAAAGGGACGCTTCTGTGAGTGGTGTGTGGCGTGTGGCCTCGGTCCCGTCCCTGCAGGAGGCGTGCCTGGCCCTGGGACACCTGGGGTCATGCGAGGCAGGGCACGTGGCTTGTCTGGGGCCTGGGGAGGCCACTCACCCCAGCATCTCCAGGGGGCCCAGGGCCCTGACACTCTCAGACTAGCCAGTCTCTTGGGGGAGACCCGGCCTCACACGGGGATCACAGAGTGGCCGGAGCCCGGGGAGGACGGCGTGGTCCACCCTGGTGTCACTCTGTGTGAGGCGGTGGCTGGGCGGGAGCTCTGTCCTTGGTGAGGCAGACTGTAAGATGAGAAAGGTCGTGGGTTTGGGGCTGCAGGAGGACGAGCTGGGGCCCAGGCTGTTCAGGGGTGTCAGGGTGGGAGCCGGGGCCCCACCGGCCCTGCGGGGCTGGGACATACTCTCCCGCATGCGAGTGGCCGGGGAAGCAGGCCAGGATATCCTGCCTCTCCTTGGGGAACCCCCGGCAGCTCTTCCTGTGTTCCTTGGCCTCCCCCCGCCTGGCCTGCCGGGGTCAGGGAGCAGGACGCAGCACCCGGGCCATGGCCCTCGCCCGCACGGGCTTCCTGTCTGTCCCCCGCGCTTCCCAGCCGTGGCCCTTGGTGCCCCCACCGTGGGAACCCCCACCGTACCTGGGGGCTCGGTGGTCCCGCAGCCCCTGCTGGCCGCAGGGGGTCCCAGCTACCTGCTGAGGAGGCCGCAGGGTCCGGCGGTGCCTGCTCTGGTTGCCAAGGTGCCTGGAGACCTGCCTGTGGCTGAGAAGAGGGGTTTGAGGGAGGGGCCCAGAGTGGGGGGAGGCTGACCCCCCACGTTCTCACACCCAACTCAGCTCAGCACCTCTGGTCCCTGCCCGCCCACAGTCTCCTCTCTCCGAGCTTCCCAAGACCTCTCTGGTGGCTTTTGGCGGCAGCCTCGATGCGTGTTAATCATTGATGGAGCTAGAAGCGGGTCCTGGTGCTTTATTGGGCTGAGCCGGTCTGGAAGCCGAGGCCAAGTGGCGGCCAGGTCTCAGGCTGTGTCACCCGACTCTGTGGCTCCCCCGTACCCGCCGGCTTCCAGGCTCTGGCCTGGGTCTGTGGTGGCTGCTGGGCAGCTGTGCTGCGGCGGGCGGGGCTGGGAGGACCGCTGTCTGGCTCTTGCCCTCTGTCCCCTCTGGGCCCCCCAGCCAGGGTTCCCAGTAAAACTGGGGATTCCTTTTGGGGCTCCTCAGACAGCCGCCCTCTCTGGGGCCTGGTCCCTTGGTCTCATCCCCTGGCTGCCCGGAGACCCCCAACGTCCCCTGCAGACCCCGCCCAGTGTCTCTGCCCCTGTGTTGAATGCCACACCACGGGCCGGCATCAGCTCAGGCAGCGACTGGGAGGGAGGGAGACAGTCCAGGTGGCGAAAGAGCTCAGAGCTCCGGGAGGAAGGGCCTCCCAGCCTGCCTTGAGGACAGCACGGTGCCGGGACCTGGGCGAGGGCGGACGTGGAAACAGGACGGAGCTTCGTGTCTGAGCGCTGCCTCGTGGCTGGGCCACCCCGCCGGGTTCCTGAGCCCTCTGAGTCTGCGTCCCGCCCCTGTGGCAGGCTGGCGGTGGTGCCGGCACCTTCTGTGCAGGGCTGGTGGGGTGGACGTAGGGCGGTGCGTGCACACGTGCCGGCATGGAACGGACAGCCCCGGGAGCTGGGTGCTCAGGCGCTCACCTGCAGCTGCCAAGGGCCGGTGGAGGGACGGGAGGTTCCCCTTGCACCCGGCCGTCCGAGGCTCTGGGTCCTTCGCCCACGGGCCGGCGGCAGTGGGTCTGAGGGAGGGGCTGCGGGCGTCGTGGGTGCCCATGCAACGGCTTCCTCTGCGTGGGAGGGCCCAGGCCCCCGCTGCTGAGGGACAGGGGCACGGTGCCCAGCGGAGGTGCTGGCAGTAGAGTCGTGACGGCGTTCGCACACGTCCGCTCTGTTTGGGTTGAGTCGTGTCCCTCAAAAAGAGGGCGAGTCCTGACTCCCGGTACCTCGATACGTTCGTATTTGGAGAGGGATCTTTACAGAGGTGATCGTGTTAAAGCGAGGCCAAGAGGGTGGCCCTATCCCATGTGACTGGTGCCTTCATAAGAAAAGGGGATCAGGACACAGACACAGAGGGACAACCATGTGGGGACACAGGAGACAGCCATCTGCCAGCCAAGGAGGAACCGTCCCAGTGACACCTCGATCTTGGACATGCAGCCTCCAGGACCAAGAGACAGGAAATGTCTGTGACTCGAGCTGCTCCGTCTGTGGTGCCTTGTCACAGCGGCCCAGGGCGCTGCCCGCCTCTGTGTGCCGGGAGGGTATCCCTGAGTCAGCTTCCGGCTGGGCTGCCTGGCGGGGCCGCCCTGCGCCAGGGCAGAGTGACTGGAGCCCGGGGGGCTGGTGTGCCCACCGCTGCTGTGGCTTCTGCCACGCGCCGCCTGGCTTGCGGCACGTCCGGCAGAGGGGCGGGGGTGGGGAGAGAGGCTCCAGATCCAGGCCGCAGAGCTGGAGACAGACGGGCTGGGGCTGAGGTGGGCAGGAGTGCGGTGCCCACCGACGGGTGCCTAGTGATGGGGCTGGGCCCCAGCTCCACCGGGGTGGCAATGCCCCTGTTCCTAAAGGTGTCGGTGCTGAATCCTCTTGCTGCTACAAACGCTGGTTTCTGAGTTCGTTCTTCCTGCGCCGGCGTGACCCAGAGCCGCTCAGATGAGCTGTCGGGCGGTGCTGACCCAGCAGGCGTGGGGAGCTCAGGAGCTCCTGGGCCTCGGGGGTGCCACCGACCTGTGGGCCACACTCCGGGTAGCCAGGTGCCAGCGTGCGGGCTCTGGTCCTGAGCCCCTTCTCAGCCCTGGGCAGGCCCCCCAGCCCACCAGCCTCCTTGTCTGGGAATGGACCCGGGCGAGCTCCGTGGCGCTTTCCAGCCCTGACATTGCAAACGGCATCTCTCTGCGACTCGCTCTGTCTACAGCTGAGGGTGACGGTGGGGACAGCCTCACCGCAGGCTCCCGGGGGTGGTGGCCTGCGAGGAGAATGTTCCAGGCCCAGGAGGAACCAAGGGGGCACATGTCCAAGGAGAGACGTGGGTGTGTGGCTGGCCCTGGGAGATACCACAGAGAAGCTTCCAGAAGCCCGGCCACAGCTACTAGAGGGGAGAATGAGGTGGTGAATGCCACCACCTTAGGCCACTGTGACCCCCAGGATTTGGGTACAGAGGGGAGGGTGGTGGGGTCCGGCTTCGCTCTGGG